ATTATATTATAGTTAAACTAAACTTTTTGCGATGTTTAATCATTAAGCTGCTGAACATCCACCAGTTAAATGAGCCCAGAGGGTCAGCTTCTCTCCTATTGATCAGTAAACAGGAAGTAGAAGAACCTGTCCTGCTGACTGACCAATCAATTAAAATACATTTTAAAAAATTATTATTGTTGTTGTCATTGTTCCTGTTGTTGTTTTTAATAATACTGATGATAATAATAATGCTTTTTTAAAATTTTATATTAGTATCATTGTTATTATATTTGATTATTTATGGGCTCTGATGGCCTATACTGGGCCCAGCTGGTCTATACTGGTGTTAGATAGTCTATACTGGGGTTAGATGGTCTATACTGGGCCCAGTGGGCCTACACCTGGACAAGAGGATCTCATGACCTCAGTTTCCTCTCCGCGTTTCCTCTCAACCAGAATCGACTGCGCAGGAATCCTGAAGCTGCGAAACTCCGACATCGAGCTGAGGAAGGGCGAGACCGACATCGGGAGGAAGAACACGCGTGTGCGGATGGTTTTCAGAGTCCACATCAACCAGCCCAGCGGCAGAACCGTGTCCCTGCAGGCGGCCTCCAACCCCATCGAGTGCTGTGAGTCTGCAGCCCTCATCATTTTTGGGAAAATAATTTAGTGAAAAACAACAGATTCTGCAGGAAAAGAGCAGAAATTTAGTCTAAATTTGAAATATTCAGATTTTTTTACATTTTATTTCAGAATTTTGACTAATTCTCAAGTTAATTAGTGGGACTATTTCAGTTTCTTGTATAAAAGATGACGTCTTTCCACCAGTTTAGTGTAAAATCAGCTCCTATTTTCAGAGGATTCTTCATTCTAAGGATTCTTACACCTTAAGCCTCATTTTGTCCTCTCAGGTTTAACTGAGTCTGTTTTTGCTCTGAAATCAACCTGTTTCCAGCTCCTGAACACATGTTTCCACTTCTGTCTGTAATATCTGCTGGAACAGAGCTCATTCAGTGGAAATCGGAGCTGGTTCTGGAGGCAGAAAGTGTGAGTAGTTTTAGAGGCTCAGATGGTGATGTGTGATCACAGACAGGTTTCTGTCAGTTTAACCAGCAGAGCAGGAAGCATCCAGCTGCTTTTCAGACCCAAACAGGCGGAAAAACACAGTCAGGACTCTGTAGCTGCTGCAGAATCAGGTCACAGAAAGCTGATGACTAAAGAAGATAGAGAGCGGATCAAATCTAAAGAGTGATGTTACCTTTCTGATCCCATACACATAAAGGAGCAGACTCTCCCCTGATGAGGGTGACGATCATAAGATGAACCGGGCTGAATGGGGCTCATGTGACCGCCGGCTTCTTTCGATCTGACTGTTTCTCTGTGAAAAAGCTATTTAACGTCACTCAATAAGCCCCATTGACCGGCTGGGCCGGCCTTGGGCTGACCTTCCCTGGACCGGGCTGAACTGGGGCGGTTCTGCTCACGGGTCGAGTCCTGTGAGTTCAGCTGAGGACAGCAGTTGAACCCTGAGCTCTGCCCCCTGAAACGGAGCCGGGAAGCTGCTTCTGAGCAGAATTCAGTCAGAAGGAGACGCACAATCGTTGTTATCCTCATGAGAAAAGCTTCAGGCTGGAAAAAGATCATCCCCCAGTGAGAAAAACTAGCTTTATTCTAAACAATTGGATTAAAAAAAGATCAGGAAAATACTCAAAATGAGGATTTTGCTTTGGAAAATAATTAGATATGATTTTTAAAATTATGTCATCCCCCTAAATAGAAAAAGGAAAAAAATAATTAGTAAATTACCAGTAAATGATCTTGAATTTTTATAAACTATCTAAAGAAAACGTTTTGTTTAGGTTTTATAAAATGATGAAAAAGTGTCAAATTATTTGGGATTATTTATTATTGAGTTATTTGGGAACAGTTTTAAGGCTGATAACTTGTTATTTTGAGGCAGTTCCTCATTCGTTTGACAGTAAATTACAACCTTTGAGTAATTTGGACATTAAGTTCCACTTTCTATTATTATTAATGTCCCAAACTATGAAATCGGCTCCATTAAATGAGTCCATCCAGCCAAACTGGGATTGAACTTGGCGCCTGTGGGAAGAAAAAACTCCCTTTTTACAGGAAGGGAGGGGCCTGATTAGGACCTTTTTTAAAGTGTTTCAACATTAACTTTGACATTTTGGGTCCTTATTTTCATGCATTTGCTCATTATTTCTGAGAGGCAGCTTATTTTACAGAGATAACTCCTTTTCGGGCTCTAATTATGTAGTTGTAGTAGCTCATTATATCAATGAACTCATAATTAGGAGCATAACTCACTCAGTTTAGACAGTAAATCAATATTTATTTATAGATATATAAATCTCTAATTGGACTTGGATGATCTTCCATTCCCCGTCTGGTTAGTTTTAATGAGTTTCCATACTTTAGACATCACAGCCAATCACAGAGAAGCTCCAGACGGCTTTCAGAATACACACATGGCAAAGCGATCAGCATCACCCGGCTAAAAATAGAGACGTGTTTGTGTTTTATGGTGAGAGAAACGCTCTCAGAGGCCGAGAGCGAGTGAGCGAGCGGAGCTCCGCCATGTTTGAAGGGGAACACGCCGGCCTCCCGCCAGGGAAAGGCCTCCGTCTGGGCATGAGCAGTGGAGCTGGCTCAGCCTGGATGCCCAGGTCTGCCTGGGGATCGGGTGTGTGTGGGCTGTGGCTGAGCATGGCTCCCCCTCTCCCCCCCCACAGCCCAGCGATCAGCCCAGGAGCTTCCTCTGGTGGACTCGCAGAGCCTGGAGACCAGCCCCCCCTCTGGGGGGGGGCGCATGCTGCTGGACGGACACAACTTCCAGCACGACTCCAAGGTGCTGTTTGTGGAGAAGGCTCCAGGTACAGTGTGTGTCTGTGTGTCTGTGTGTGTGTGCGTGTGTGTCTCCCGTCGCTGGAGAAGCCCCCCGGACCCCCCCCCCCCCCTTCTGCCACATGTGGTGCACATTAATACGCCGTATTTTTAACCCAGTTGATTTACATTCGCAGAAGTTTCCATTCGCTGTTCAGCCGAGGAGCGAATCACAAACACTGTGTGTGTGCGTGTTAGTCTGTGTGTGTGTGTGTGTGTTTGTCTGTGTGTTAGTCTGTGTGTGTATTAGTCTGTGTGTGTGTGTTTGTCTGTGTGTGTTATTCTGTGTGTGTTGGTCTGTGTTAGTCTGTGTATGTTTGTTAGTCTGTGTGTTAGTCTGTGTGTGTGTTAGTCTGTCAGTGTTATTCTGTGTGTGTTGGTCTGTGTTAGTCTGTGTATCTGTGTTAGTCTGTTTGTGTGTGTAAGTTTGTGTGTGTGTGTCTGCCTGTCAGTTTGTGTTGGTCTCTCCTGCTGGAAGCTGCTTTGCTTTGGAGGCAGCTGCTCCCAGATGTTGACTCGAGGTTTACAAACAGCAATTTCGTTGATTAGCTTTAGCGGAGTGGCGTGCACGGTGGCGTGCACGGCGGCGCCGCAAAAACAGTCGGCTGACTCACTCAAAGGAGAGGGAAGCCTTTCTATTGTTCCCTCTGTGGAGGCAGGAATCCCCGGCAGCCTCCGACTGTTTATCAGCAGGCTGACCTTTGACCCCTCTGTTTGGGCGCGGCGGCAGGGCCGTTAATAACAGAGTCAGTGGTTGAAATAAATCCGACGCAGAACCACATTTTGGACCTGGACATCTGGCAGCAGTTAAGATTTAGTCTGAGTGAAAGTGGAAAATGCTGCCTGTGCTGGACGGAACTGAAGCCATTTTCGAGTAATGTCCTCAAATAAGAAGCTGGTACAAATTTAGATACTGCAAAACAACAACATTTAGAAAGCTGAAACCATGATTAAAGCAGGAATTTCAAACTCGGGTCATCTTTGGGAAGCTGCCCTGCAGGTTTTAGATGTTTCCCTGCTTTGTGTTTGACTCTAGTTTGGATCAGAGGCTCATATGTTGATGTGTTTTTCTATTTTTTTTATATATTTGGGAGTCTCTGTAACTACTCATTCAACAACTGCTAGCACATGCTTATTCTTTTGAACACAGACTAGTCACATATAAATCAATTATGTTTTTGCAGCATTTCAAGAACCTGAGGCAAGGCCTCGTAGGGTTTTATAGAAACTTTGAGTGTCCTCTGTATCAAGTTTGTGCTAGCGTCTCCTGTAGTATGGGTTAGCGTCTCCTGTTGTTCGGTTAGCATCTCCTGTAGCTTGTGCTAGCGTCTCCTGTAGCTTTTGCTAACGTCTCCTGTAGCTTGTGCTAGCTTCTTATTGGCCCTTTATAGCTCTCGTTGGTTCTTGAAGTGTCTGTTGGTGACCCCCCACACCCCCCCACCTGGATATAAGCTGTATAGAAAACTAAAGCTAATGCTTATTTGATTGTTAATGTTTAATCTTAGCCCAGCTCGTGTAAGTGACTTTTTGTTTAACCACTGGAGCAGATTCAGACCGGCTAAACTTGTTATCTCAGCTCAGATCCGGGCAACTAGCTATAGTGTTTTGTGGTGACAGAGGGAGAAGCTAAAACAAAGCCTCTGATTGGGCGGCTAGCTGCTGTGGTTCTGCTCCAGGCCTGAATCCGGCCGTCTTTAGGGCCGTGCGCCGCTCTGGACGGGTGCTAATGGGTGTGCTCCCTTGTTTTTGATGAGGGTTTCCCAACGTCTGGCACCAGCTCTAGATTCCTGGGCAATCCTACCATGGAACACCCGCAAGCCAGGCTTCCACACCCCCCCCCACCCCACCCCCCTTTCCTCCATCCCTCCACCTCCATGCGAGCTGCCTGTGTGCCACCGGCTCTCAGCTCATTAACTCTGGGTTCCCTGTGGATCAGACTGGGTCCTCTTCACAGCTGCTCTCCCTGTAAACAGACAGGAAAACAGATCCATTTGGGACACCAGTGCTCCCTGGAGTCAAGTCGTTCTTTTAATAATAATAAGAATAATATGCAATGAGATCAGGCACTGGAGAAAAGGGAAACCTTTTAGAATCCAAAATAACTGCTGCACTTTGTTATCCTGAAGCAGGTTCAGGCCTCCCACAGGATACAAATGAAAACAGTTCCATCTTGAATTAGGTCAAAGTTCATTCATTTGTGTTTTTTTTTATTTTTAGGTTTTATAATTTTTAGGTTTAGGTTTTTAGGTTGGAGGTAAGACAGTCGTTTCTCTCAGACTCTAAATTCAGAGCCAAACAGTCTAAGGTTTCCTGGTTCGAATCCTGGCTGTTTTTCCACACCTGACGGCTGCACACATCGTTTTGATCCAGAAGCTGACAAAGCCGAGGATCTGCCTTCTTTTTGGACAGTTTGCACAGAAAACATTCCCCCCAACCAGGACGTCCTGCTGGTTGGGGAGAATGTAGGCAGCGACAAGGATGTCAGGACCTCACACCATCAGAACCAGAACCAACTCTGGGTGGATTCATGCACAGAGTGTGAGAGAGGTAGCCTTTGTGAGGTAGCCTTTGTGAGTTAGCCTTTGTGAGTTAGCCTTCGTGAGTTAGCCTTTGCGAGTTAGCCTTTGTTTGGACGGAAGGGGGTGGGCCCCAAACAGCCAGAAAACCATCTAGTTTCTTTTTTTTAGAGCCGCTTTGGTCACAAATCTGCTTCCACTTGTGTGAACCAAAGGGTTTGTTGCAGCCACATTCCAGCGCCGCTGT